TTTAATGCTTCCCCTCCCACCCCCAACTATCAGGACCCCAATTCTACCTTACAAATCTGGCTAGACCAGAGCATGTACACTGATACAGATAAGAGCTCGCAACACAGGGAATCCAGGACAGATAAACCCCTCAGAGCCAATAATAAAAGTAACGATACCAGGAGAGTTCGGAGAAGGTGGGGTTAGAAAGGGAGAACTGATCACAATGATTGGCGTATTTACACTCCCCCCCCCAGGGGGGAATGAACAACAGAAAAGTGGGTGAAGGGAGAAACAAACAACAGAACAACAGAACAGAAAGTGGGCGAAGTGGTTGGTGTAAGATAGGAATATATATATATAATAAGGAGGTGATACCAAGGGTTCAAATAAAAAGAAAATGTTTCAAAAATGACATATGTACAAATGTGCTTGACACACTGGATGTATGTAAGAATTGTAATAAGATCTGTAAGAGTCTCCAATAAAATGATTTTTTTTAAAGTGCTGTTAGGATGGCATAGGACTGTACAGCATTTCATTCTTCTACATATAAGTCACAATAATTCAACAGCACCTAACAGCAAGAGCTATAGTTATATTAATATGTTAGATTGTAGGGCACTGTACCAGATTCTTGGACATATTAAATAAGATATAACTGAGTACCTAGGACATTACCAAAAAAGAAAACAATAAAATAATTAAATTTACAAGTACATATATCTGACCCTGATTAGATAGCTGTTGCTGACGTTTTATTGTCATATAATCAAAAATATCATCAACATACATAGTTTAATCCTTTCAGATGTTAACAAAGTTCCTAAAAATTCAGAAATATTTTCAGTGTGTGACACAAAATAAGGAGGCTCTCTGGTGTAGCGTGGAGGAGCATTAGTGGTAGAGTGGTTCCACATTGGGTGAACCGCACTTACTTAAAGGTCAACAGTTTGAAATCACTAGTTTCTCCAAGGGAGACAGGCTAGGCATTCTACTCCATAAAAAGTTATAGTCTCAGAAGTGCACAGAGGCAGTTCTGACCACGTCTCAGGAGGTCACTGGAGTGGGAATGGACCCACTGACAGTGACTTGATGTTGTTTGTATAGTGGAGATAGGAAAGCAGATGTAATGAATTGGAGATGAATGCAAATCCTGACTTCAAAGTCAACTAAATCTATGAAAATGGTCAATTTCTTAAACTCTCTTCCCCTTTGGTTTCTCATGTATTAAATAATTTAAACTTAAATGAGATTGTATAGGATAACAAATAACATGATACACTTAATATATATTAACCAATCCTACCTGCTACTGTTACAATAGAGTAAAAGGCTAACATTTCTGGAATTTTACAAATTAACGACAAAGACAACAGTTATAAAATTTGAGACTTGAGGATTTTCACTTTAGTATTCTACCATTAAAATTCTAATATGGGAAAAAAACTAATATGTAGTCTAGCATGTTTCAATCAAAACAATAAATATTCTTGAAAAAAGTTAAATGACTTATTTGGACAATCACATTGGACAATATTTAGTATTAATGGCTTACAAATACAGATTCATTTCTCATTTCATACTAAATAACTGCAGGTGTGGTTACCTGAGAATAGTACGTATGGCCATCTGAACCACAAAGGGGGTTGGTGTAATCCACAGGGCACTGCTGGCAAGTGGATGACATGGGACTCCTCCATTGCTTATGACCTTTTCCAATGTCCTTCATACTATTAAAAATAAAAGAACCATTTGTTAATTTATTTTAAAAACATTGATCTTTGAACATAATAATTTTTAAATGTAGTCTATCTTTTTAAGATAGATTTAACACAATAAAGTATGTGTTTATTTTCTGTGTACTAACACAGCTAGTGTTGTTCCTTATAAACTTTTAGCTCATATCTGAAAAAGAGTATATCTCATTAAAATATCCTGCTAGTTACATATAAGCAATTAATATTTTGTATCAGGTGTATTAAAATGCATATATTGATGTCTATCTCTCCTGATAGATAGATAGATAGATAGATAGATAGATAGATAGATAGATAGATAGATAGACAGAGAAAGTGACAGAGACAGAGACAGAAAGTTGCTGATCTCTAAGGAACCCTTATGGTATAGTGGATTATTCATCAGATGCTAAGGACAGAAGTTCAGAACTACCAACTGCTCCACAGAAAAAAGATGAGACTTTTACACCCATAGAGATTTCCAATTTCAGAAACCCCAAGGGGCAGATCTACTCTGCCCTAAAGGGACTCCATGGGTTCAAAGCAATTTGATGGTAGTTAGATTTGGTTATATATATATCACTCTGTGTGTGTGTGTGTGTGTGTGTGTAGTGCACTTTCGATAGCATGGCAACCGAAACAACAGTTAAACAGCAAAAAAGGACTTATATATCTGGCATTTATTTAAGATTGCTCTTAGTATTCCCCTAAAAAGAATATCAGAAAAGTGATATTCACTTGTACTCATTGTGTTTCAAAATAAGGGCAGAAAACAGCAATACAGAATGACAATTTCCTTTCCTTTACCAGTATTTACAGAGCCAGATTAGAGCTTTAGTTATAGAACACATCCCATTTATTATGCAGAATTTACTGAAAATAAACCTCTCAGGCTTTGAACCAGAATTACTTGAAAAAACCCGTTCTGTTCAGTTACTTGCACTCAAATTCAGCTGAATTATTTGCTTTCCCACTTTGATTGAAATCCTCTTTTGTTTCTCTCTTATTTCCTGCCTATTAACATGATCACTTTAAACCGAGACAAACAGGAAATTTAAAACAGAAGCAAATGAACAAGTTATCTATAGAAAGCACTTAGAAGCCCTCCAATAAATCACCACACATTTTTCACAATTGTGCTATAAACAGTGTTCTGTTCTGCTGTACATTGGGTTGGTATAAGTTGGAAATGACTATATATCCCTTAACAACAACATAGAGAAACTGTGATATATGTAATGATGAGATAATATATTTGTTTTACTCAAAACAAGGAAAGAAACAAAACCACACTGCCATCTAGTCCATTCTGACTCACAGCAACTGTGGTGGGTTTCTGTGCCAACATGGCACTCGTAGGAAGATAGGGGTGAAGTAGCCTGTCAATCATGGCGCAGTATGATGACCTCCTTTGAGTGCAACCAAGATAAATAGCTCTCTGGAGGCCGGCCTATATCTCGCTCTCTGCCATGACCTTCCTGTTAATGAGTCATCTCTAGACAACTGGACATACCTTGCAGAGGGGTAGTGGGGAGATGAGTCACTTAGGGTACAGTGTAGCAATAATGAAACCCACA